AGCCCAAGGAGAGAAATAAAAGGGGGGATTTCAGATACCATAAAGAGAGGGGGTGTCAGCAATTAATGGGCAGAAAGGAAGCAATCCATAGGTGTGCAGTGAGTGGTCACCATTGTCTCTATGAGGAAGGACCTAGCCCACAGAGAATGGGGTTCCCCTAGTCAGGGCTCAAGCATTAGCACCTTGGAATATGAGACAGTTTCCTGGTGGGTGGCTGGTCAGCTGAGCATTACCGTGGACCTAACTGTAGTAAAGCCGAGCTTCTGTAACAGGCCCACTCACTGTTATTAGAATACTCCACCTTTGGGAGGCGACTCGCCTCAGACTGACTCCTATGTTGTCTCTAAGACCTAAATGCTTGAGCCTGAGTCTTTATATCCCTTAGGGTCTGAAATGTAGCCCCTGGTTAATGTTCTGAAGCACAATTAATAATAATAATAATAATAATAATAATAATAATAATAATAAAAGCTCAGAGAGAGAAATTGGGGTTCAACTTAAAGATTAGAAAAGCAAAGCAGTCAGCCACTGGCTCTTACCTCTACCTCAGTCCAAAGTGGCAATCCTTCCTCCAGGAATCTCAGAATGAGACTGTGCCTGAGAGCTGTTTCCTCCCGTTTTAGAATCCTCTCTCAGGCTGGAATTAATGGTGTGTGCTGCCCGGTTTCTATGGCAACTCGTGTGGCTACTGGGATTAAAGGTGTGTGTCATTGCTGCCTGTTCTGTAAGGCTGGCCAGTGTGATTTTTTTTTTCTGATCTTTGGGCAAAATTTATTTATTAAGATACAAATGAAAAACCACTACAGTGTTCCCCAGCTTATAGTGCTATATTAGAAGGCTGTTGAACTCTCAGGAAGTTAGATAGGGCTTAGCTGGTGGAGGTGGACCATGAGGGGACAGGGTCTTAATAATGTGCTCACCTTTAGTTCTTGCCCATGCTTCCTATCCACTGTCATGTGAACAGGCCACTGCTACAGGCTCCTGCCACCAGAAACACTGCCACACCTCCTGCCTTCCTGCCATCCCTTTGTAACTACTCTTCCTCCTTCAAGTTATTTCTGTTGGGAATTTTGTCACACTGACGGAAACATGACTAATATACTTTAACCAAAATCCCTGCCCCCGCTGGGGTCACCAACAACTTTGCATTGTCTGTCCCTGGAGTGCCATTCCCCCGTCATCATCCCAGAATGAGTTCTGCTTGCATGAAAGCATTTGGTTTCCAATTCAGGGTATCTTGGTTAGGGATTCTCTGGCTGTGAGAAACACCATGACCAACAGTATCTTGGGAAGGAGAGGATTTGTTTCGTTTTACACTCTCAGGTCACACCCCACCACTGGGGAGATCGGGGCGGGAACCTGGAGGCCGGAGCTGATGCAGAGTCCATGGAGGGGTGCTGCTTACTGCCTTGCTCCTCATGGCTTCCTCAGCCTGCTTCCTTATAGAACCCAGGACCACCTGCCCAGAGGTGGCACCAACCCCATTGGGCTGAGCCATCCCTTATGATTCATTAACGAAAAGAATGCTGTACAGACGTGCCTACAAGTAATCTGGTAGAGAAGTTCCTCAATTGAGGTTCCGCCTCTTATATGACTCTAAACGTATCTAATTCCTCCACATACCCCCCCCCAAAAGAAAACCACCATCACCACAACAAAAGACCCTCTGAGGACACGGGGCCAGGAGTAGAGCTAAACTTGACAAGACACTAGGACAGTGGTTCTCGACCTTCCTAATGCTGTGCAGTTTTAATACAGCTCCTCATGTTGTGGTGACCCCCAACCTCAAAATTACCTTGTTGCTCTTCCGTAACTGTGATTTTGCTCCTGTTATAAATAATAATGTAAATATATGTATGCAGGATATCTGATGTGCAACCCCTAAAGGGTTTGTGACCCACAGGTTGAGAACTGCGGCACTAGGAGAAAGCATGTCTCTGTAGTGACCTGTAATGTCCTTAGAAAACAACAGGCATCAGTTGCTTTGCCTTGAAACATGTGAATAAGTGTTTCTGCCCTAAACTGGGAGAAAGTCTGAGGTCACAGACAGCTTCTCTGTAGATACTCTATAGTAGACATAGAAAAATAGCCTTGTGTCTTGAGAAGTTTTTCAAATCCCTTGAAAAATAGCAGAACCTTGGTAAATGTTTATATCAAACTAATAAATGCAGATTGAGTGCGGTGATTTGCCCCATCTGTGAGATACATCCCAAGACCCTAGTGGGTGTCCTAAGTCATAGAGAGTACCAAATACCAAACTCTGAGTGCACACACATGCACACACACTCACACACACACACACACACACACACACACACACACACACTCACATGTAACGCTTTTCCACCGAATGTGTTATATGCTGTAACTCTGACATCAGCAGTGTGAATTTGGATAGCACACCAGCACAAATTTCCCTCCCCTTTCCAATTTCACAGAAGATTCATTCTCACCACGAATCTTAACAATTTCAACCTGTTATTTTTTAGTATAGTTAAGAATTTTCATCTTTTTGGTGGAAAGCAGCACATACACAGTCCACACCCAGACAG